TTCTGCGCTGGAAAATCTACCTAGAGGTTCTCAGCTGCAAAATCAGGTTCCCCGTGCATCTGCAGATGTCACTCCCTTAAAGGACTACTCTGTACAAAACAAGTATCTCGCCGTCTCTCTCTCTGGCCCCAGTGCTTTCCTCTCCCCTCCACCCCGCTCTGATGGCTTCACTTCACATGACTCACCAGATGGTACTTTTGTTTCTTGCCCGTCTTCCTCTGCTAGGAAAGAAGGTCAAAAGGAAAGGCACCTTTTTCTGACCCAGCATACAGTAGGCGCCCCATAAATACTTTCTATATCAATAAATTATAATGGCTCCTGCTGTTACTGTGACCTTGCATCGGTGGCAGCCAGGCTTCCCTACAAAGTGTCTGCTAAAACCATAAATGTGTGTGGGGAAATCGGGGAAGGCGGTGAGGCTGGGAGGGCCTGGGGGTGTCAACTTCCTCCCACTTTTCCTTTAGAAAATCCGTAAGAATCTTAAACTACAGGGGCAGCGGCAGCAGATGAAGTGATCGTGTAGAGATTCTGGATAGAACAGGATTATTTTAATGGAAAGATCTAAATCCATAAAGGAATCTCAGATCAGTCACCCTCTCCCCCTCACCACGGACTGCTTAGGAACATTTAAATTTGACAAAGCATGACAATTCTTTCACTCACCCAGGGTCTTAGTAAACAAAAAGGTTAAGTTTTCTGAAATTTGGACTCTAATGGCTAATCACACATCCTCTGTAGCAGGCACCTACGCTTCGCCGAAGCAGCAGCAGACCGTGTTTGGAGCTGGCCCTCAGACCGTGCAGACTCAACCCGCCTGCACGCGCTGGGCGCAGCCAGGCTCCCCGCCGCCGCGTTCTGCTTTGGCTCTCCTCGCACGCCACTCCCTCAGCGAGTCCCACACGGCGTCCTCGGCGCGCTTCTCCTTTCCCTCGTTTGTGTCGGGAACGGGACCGCGAGGCAGGGCACGGGGCAGGAGGCCCGGGCCTGGTTCAGAGGCTGTCACTAAGCCACGTGCCCCCCAGGAAGCCCTTGGCTCCCCTGGGCATCAGTTCCCTGAGCTGGAAAATGAGGTTGAACCCGATGACCTCGAAGGCCGCGGAAGGCCTTGCCTCCCAGCTCCCAGCACGCCCCCCAACCCCGGGCCCCGGCGCCCTCGCAGGCCTACCCGATTCCACGTACTCCTTGACGAGCACGGCGCAGTAGGGGCTGACGGCCTCTCCCTGACACGGCTGGCAGGACCCGCAGTCGAAGTTGGACAAACCAATTCGAAGAAATGGTGACATGGTCGCTCCCTGCAAAGCAACAGAAAACAGATACTGTCTGGGGACTAGAAGACACATTATTGTGGGGGTGTCCCATCCCCACCTACCCAGTGCTTTATCTCTGACAGCCAGAGCCCCCCAGGGCTCGACCCTCCATTCAGACAAATGCGTTACTTCCCCTCTGCCCCCCACGCTCTGGGCTCGCCCCACACCGCGGGCGGGCCGGCCCGCCAGAGAGGGGGGCCTGTGGGAGTGGGCGCGCTGAGGCCTGCGTCCCACTCTTAGTCTGGTGCACTTGGTCCGACAGCTGCCGGGCGGGGCGGCAGCCGCCACCATCTCAGTCCCTTCTACCGTTCAGGTAGGCCCCCGGGAAACCACACACACCAACAAAATGAGTCTATAAAGAGTGAGGCCCTTCTGACTCACACGGGTAAACATGACACCACAGAATTCTTCCGTGGGCTGTTTAGGGGTGTGAGGGGCCTGGCTCGGGGCGCTTACTTAGCAGCTGATCTCTGTTTACTTTAGACACACACACACACACAAATACACGTACACATATACACACAAATACATGCACATATGTGCAGATGACATTCTATATATAAACACACATATACACACATATACACATACATATATATGGAGATGACATTCTATATAAACACACACACGTACATATGTTATATATATATAAAATAGGTTTTTAAATATTATGAACCCCTTAAAAACCTTACATCACCATAAAACAGCACTTTATTGTGGAAGAGTAAACGAAATACTTCATAAAAGCCAAATTACTGACCACTACACTTTCCTGGAGACACAGGGGAACGTCACCGCAGTGCTGGCTGCAAGTTCCAGGATTCTCGTCTGATTCTTCATCTCCTGTTTCTTGCCTGTCCTTGTCTGGCCACTTACTTCAACTAAACGCCTCCCTCCCCCTTATTTTTTTCACCCTACTTTTCCACGAGGTCCCATTAATCTGAAACCATCAGCTGGGATTAGTGATAAAGTTACTTCCTTGCTTCCTCTGTCTCTTGAACTCATTTCTCCCCATGAATTTCCCCGAAAGTTCCTACGTAAGCCAAAGGTATCAACAAGAAAGCGCCAACCATCTTTTCCACCTTTGTGTTAAGGAGGAAAACTGCTCGGAATGACGGGACCCCAGACGTGAGAGTCAGCAACACAACTGGAAACCCGGGCGCCATCATCCTGAACCCAGCAGCGCCATAAAAGACCGCCCGTCCTCTGGAGCGCTGGTGGTCTTTGGGTCATTTTTGAACCTACAGAGAGACACATTAGGGGATCTTGACAACTGCTGTTAATTTCACAGACATTAAGAAAGTCCCCATTTCTTTTCTTTTTTTTTTAAACTGAAGAATAGTCAGTTACAATGTGTTGATGTCTGGTGTAGAGAAAAAATAAAAAGAAAGAAAGAAGGAAGGAAGGAAAGGAAGGAAAGTCTCAATTTCCTGCAGTGCAGCGGGTTCAACTAAAGGAGACGGTTGTGGAATCATCACGACTCGTCGGATGGTCTTCGCCACCAAAACACATTCCGTACGCATCGCACTGCAGAATTAGCAGCCAGGTGCTTCCAGGTTGTCTCTAGGGGCCCCCTTCACCCTCTGTGCTTAGAACTCTTGGGCAGCAGTCTGGCTAAGAACTGGGAATTCTCTGGAGAAAACTTCTCTGAGGTCCCCCCCGTTCCTGGGCCAGGGAGGACTTCCAGGCTAATCTGTCTTTCTCCGCTCCTCAGGAACAATCACCAGAATTACAACCATTCGTGGGAGTATGTACCACATGTGGACATTTCGAAGATTCGCTCAACACCAGTGAAGGTAAACGATTCATTCTGACTGGAGCCTGGAGGGATCACTGACGCATAACGTCTGAGTCACAACCACTGTGATCTTTACTGACGGCGCTGCTGTTTGCAGGCTGGGTTCAGAATCAGGCACCAGCAGCTCCACGTGCACCTGGGAGAGTCCATCTGGGGAGCAGACGGAAGGCTCCAGAGCACCCAGGAGCGAAACCCTCCCCTCCCACAGGGCTTGCTCAGACATCCGCCGTCCTCCTCCTCATCAGCAGCCCGGACTCGCTGGCCCTGTCCCCTCAGCCGCGAGCATTCAGATGGTTTGCCCGACGCATGCGTCTGTCTGGTAGCACAGCCCCTCTTCCGAAAGGTCTAGTCGCAGTGATGGAGCTGACATTTTGACATTCAGAAGGCAGAACGTGCGCTGTGCGCTTCACCGCACGCAGTGTTCAGCAAAGCCTCAACTCAGGGGTGCCTTTTTAGGGCAAAAGGTAGCATTTTATTCCCGAGCGACTCAGAATGTCCTCCCCTTCTGTGACAGGACTAGGTGATCATCATGAAATGAAGAAAAGACACAAAACTGGTAAAACTCTCCTCATAGTTCCACCAACAGAAGCAAATTGCAGTCACTGTTTGGATGGATTTGTCTCCAGTTTTTTTTTAATGAACGGGTGTGGGGTTTTTGTTGTGTGTACTATAGTCATGCTGTGTGTACGCAGTTATATTTGACTTTTAATTTAATATTTCGCCATAAAAACTGTCCTAGCTAGTATGCCATCTTTGTAACTTTTTAATTCTTGCATAATATCCTATTGAGAGGCAGGATATGCGTGATCTGCTTTGCTGAAGTCTTTCTTACAGGTACTTACACATTTAGATTGTGTCCAGTGTTCCCATAATAGAAATAATGCTCTGACAAACACCTTCTGCAATTTGTTTTTAAATTTAGGAAGACTGACTCAGACAAGCTCACTAGAGAACTCTGGTATTACTATGTCAAGTGATATTATTATTTCTTCTTCTCTTTTTAAAAATTATAGTCAGTTACAATGTGTCCATTTCTGGTGTACAGCATAATTAATGTTACTATTTCTAAGGTCTTGGACATTTAAGGAAAATAATAAAATGAAAAGGCAAAGACTGCAGATGGCATTATCTCATTCTTTTTTTATGGCTGAGTGTCACTATGCTGTACACCAGAAACTAACACAACATTGTAAATCACTACACTTCAATTAAAAAAGTTAAACTTAAAAAAAAAAGAGGCAAAGACTTAGGGAAATATTTATGGTAAATGCAATAGACAGTAAGTTGGCATCATTCTTATAGAATAAGCATACACAAATTTGTAAAAACAAAACCAAACCCCAAACCCACTACTTATGCCCCAATTAAACAAGTGGCAATGATATAAACCATACAAAATACAAAAAATACAGCTGTCACTATTTATGTGGGAAATGTTTAGCCTTGTGAGCAATTTAAGAAATGTAAAACAAAACAGGATACTATAGAATCACATTTCTATGACATTCTTGAAAACACAAAACTATAAGGAGAAAAAAACCCAGTGGTTTGGGTAGGGGGCAGATTATGATTAAAGGGACAGTATGAGCAGTCTGGGGGGAGACTGATCTGTTCTATGTGAGTGGTCACAGAAATCTAGACTTAAACTCGCAAAATTATACACCAAAAACGAAAGTCAGTTTTGCCATATGGTATTTTAAAAACCCAAATACAGAAATATGCTGTGAGCATTTCAAGGCATAGATTAATTCAGAGGTTATATAAAGAACATACACTAGAAAACTGAGAATTCATAGAATAAAATCTTAAATTAAGATCTGAAATAATCAAGGGTAGCCTCAATTTACTAAAGAGCAATGGTCAGAGCCTCAAAAAAACAGCTTTTACTCTATAGTATTTAAGCGCTTCTGAAATTTTGCATTTTGGTGCAAATCGCTGAGAAAAAAACATAACATTAGAATCTGATCATGCATTTCCTTTGAGGATCCATTAATATATTAAGTTCAACTTAAATTATAATCATAAAAAGAATTAAAATATTTAAAACATAAAACACAATATTTTTTTAGCCGTGCAATTAGCAAATAAGTAACTTTGAAATACTCTTACCCAGCACTGGCAAGGACAGCATGAATCGTCCAGTGTCACACAATGCTGCTGTCAGTGTAAGTTTCCTCAATCCTGTTAAGTGTGTGTGTGTGTGTGTGTGTGTGTGTGCGTGCGTGTGTGTGTGTGTATTAT